GGGCATTGTCTCGCGCATCACCTCTCACCCATAGCCGGCCATTTCGCTCTACCTCAACACCGTGGACTATTCCTGTGAGGTCACGTGAGTGACATGGTCTGTAGCAGCGGCCCAAAGGACATCAAAACTCCCGACGAGTGCAGTGAGAGGTGTTGCAATTCTTCAGGCACGTGCCCAAAAACGGGGGATAATTTCCTGTTTCGGGCTGAGTCGTGCACTGCTCCAAAAACTCGTCATCTGCAAAATACGCTGTAACTTCTTAGAAACGAAAATGACATATTCCCAAAATATGTCAATAAAAACTTAGAAGTCCACTCTATTTGCACATAGCATGATCACCGTGCTGAGGGCAAGTGTTTTCTCGTAATTCGGAAATAAAATGTGTCAGTTTTTCGTGAACATCCCTGTATAAAGCATATTCTTCTGTGCCTTCTGATGCGATAGTCCGGCTGCGGCACTACATATACAGTGTAGCTCAAGCTGATCGCTCATGCAATAACCCGAGTTTCGAGCATCCGAGCATTCGAGCATATGTCTGCACTGGGTGATCTAAACTTCTGAGACCGGGGTTCCACAATTTCACACGCGATGAGAAATTGAGGTATGATAAGCTATGCCAAGTTTCGCGGCGCTTATACGGGCAAAAAAAGCTTGCAAGTTTGACCAAAAAACGCCCCACTTCTCCAAGCGAGGATTAATGAAGCTAACGCTATGAATGTGACTGAAGCTGCTTTCCTGTGCCTCATTCTGTTAGGACAGTTAGCCCTTTCATTTTCCGGTCTTTCCCTAAACGTGTGTGTCGGCGCGGGTTCGGCCCAATGTGGTTCGACTGAGAGCATGACATCTGGTCCTTTCCGCCCGGCCTGACCGGCGCGGCGGACCCGTGCCACTCCTCCCCGAACTCCCGGGGCGCGGATGGGGAGGGGCGGCCCGGCAGTCCAACCCCTCCCCGCTAACAGATGGATGGACAGGGGAAATGTGATACTTGTCCTATGACAACAAACCGGCGTTCAGCGCTAGGGTCATCTACTGGTCTAGAAACGTATCTCTATGTCGGCAAGAGCCTCGCCAGGTGGTGTAAAGGTCGCGTGAAACGCACCCTTAACAACTTTTTAAAGGTATGTAGACATGTAAAAGAGAAAAGCTGCCTTAAAGAGATCCAAGCGGCGGAAAAGAATGGGTGGCTTAGTGACTTCACCCTATGTTACATCCGCTACGTAAAGGGAAAGACAAATATCTCCAGTAAGTCGAACCAAACAAGCGGGTTTACTATGGAGAAGAGCTGTTTTTCGGCTTGTAGCAGCTCAGGATTCGCAAGCATTCTAAATAGAACGAAATCTGGTATTTAGAGCGATAATGCTTGCATCATGTGATCACTCCTACGTTGACCGCATGACAAAACCGGCACATTTCCTCGGGATTAGGAGAGAACACTGTAAGTTGAATAATCCGGGTAGCTGCGATACACAAAGGTGAGATCACTGTTTAAGCCGAATGGCTCATCTCAGAAGCAGCGGCGAGGAGCCGGCTAGAGGCGCAGTCCGTTCCTCTATACCGTTCGGCAGACCCGGGGACCATCTCCACCCAAATTCCTGCCGCGGCGTCAAGGACGCGCGCCTCGCCGCAGTGCAGCGCCGTTTTCCGCGTCCGTATCGCTACATCAGTGTTTACGCTGGAAATCGAAACCAACACGAAGTACGCTCGTGTCCGGTCAGTACCGTTCGGGGGCGGCCGGTATCGCCCACAACGGTCCACGGACGGTCCGGGACGATCAGGGACGGTCGGCATGGTCCGATGGTACACAGACGGCAGTCGGGATGGTCCGATGGTTCATGGAAGGTCTGTGGATAGTCTGAGGATGGCCTGTAGATGATCCTGCTTGGTCCTTGGACTGATGGAAAGGTCCACGAACGGTCCGGGTGTGTGTGTGTGGAGGGGGGGGGGGGGCTGTGGACGGTTCAAAACGATTCATGGAAAGTTCTAAGACGGTACGGAACGGCTTGTGGACGGTCCCGGACGGTCCCGGACGGTCCGAGGAAGGTCCGGGACGGTCCTGTTGGGCGGGCGGCACCAGTCAGGCTGCCAGAGTGACAGCCGAGCCATCTGTGCAGACCGTCGGCCCACCCGGTCAGCATGCTAATAGCTCGATTCGGCGAGATCGCCGGCAGCCTGCCGGCTCCACCCCCTTCGTTTAGCTACCGACAGCGATATAAATGGGCTTTATTCCGCCAGCGGACAGCGTCTTCATTTTAGAGCTGGTGTGGTCAGAGGGCTTATCGCCGGCCGCGTAAAAACCGACACAGGCTGGTGAACGTCGCAACACTGTGGGACCTCTGTGATCTAGTGTCAACCTTACATTTAGAAGAGAAAAAAAAATGTTGAAGTTAAAATAGTCAGCTTAAGCTTGAAAACTTCCGTGGAATTACGTCTCGGTGGGCACTGGGTAAGGCTTTTTGTGAAAAGGCTTTCTTCCACGCCTGTCTCGTTCCGTGACCGGTGTCGAGCCGTTTTCCGTCGTGGTGTCGGGTTGAGGGACAGCCGCCACCACAGCCGTCACCGGTTCCCCGTGCCGTGGGTGTCAACAGCACCGTCTGAAAACGCCTCACGAGACCCGGCTAACGGGACTCGAAACGAGCCCATGCACGTGCACGGTGCATAGCGTGCACACTGCGACAGCATGCACCGGGCGAGGAGGCCTGAGCCACCCCTATCGCCGCGCTGCGTCCTCACGTGAAACACTCGGCACACCGGCATCATAACCGAAGCGCTTTGGATGTTCCCAATGATAAACTGGGGCTTACGAACGCCAAGGTAAAACTCAACAGACATCGCGATTGGGAGGAATTTAGATGCATTCTGCAAGGGCTCCACCCTCCAACCTTCTAGCCGGCCAAGTGTGGAGAGCATGATTCGAGCTTCTGTGATTTGCGCCGGGAATTCCAGTGAAGCTTCTTGTCATGCAGCCTACTTGAAGCACATTTATCTTTCCCGTCGCCCAATCACCGAGACCAATAAACAAAGCGTGATTATTAGCATTCGACGCAGGAGCGACGACCATAGCCCGCCACGGTTCGGAGAAGGGAGAAGGCGGTGCACAAAATGAGCTACAGATTAGCTGAAGACAAACACCTATCCTTCTGCAAATGGTATAAGGGTGGCTACTGGGAAAAGCACCCTTCCTTCCGGCGCATTTTGGTTCAGAGGTGGGGTGGGATCTGGGGGTGGGGCGGCTTTTAAACTCTGAGGGGGGGTTGCGACCTAACGCCGCTCTTTGAGGAGTGTGTGGGGGGGGGGGGGGCAAAGACTGGCTAAAAGGCCACAAATCACTCACAGACGGCCGGCCGCGGCACGGTTGCTATGTTGATGAAGGTTAGTCGTTCGTGACAATCAAGCGCAGTCCAATATTTCATCGATTGGGAGTCACAGACACATTTGGGTGTCTTCGGCGTCAGCCGGAGCTGCCGGCGCGACAGGGGAAGGTGTGTTCATTTGGGTAGGTGTGTTTCTTTCCCTAGCCGGCGAGAAGCTCTGGTTCCGCATACCCAGCGCAGATACAAGATCATAATCCAGCAGGAACACGTCTTGGGCGGTATATGAGAACGGGTTTAGCCACGTTTGCATGCAAGGAACATGCACTTTTTCGTTAGGTTACATTTCTGGCCCGGATATATGTGTAAATACTGCCTACCTTAGGCTATTTTGGTGGTGGTTTTCGGGGAATGATGTCATTTAAACTCCCTCACAAAGGCAGCTTGGAAAAGCAGCAGCCATGGATAAAACAAGCCGAGCAAAAGGAAAGTTGTAAAGAATCAGACCTGACGCAGAGTGAGGTCGGCAACAATGCGAAACAAGATCCGCCCGCTGAAGAACGGATTACAAATGAACGCTTAAAAGGAGCAAAGGAAGAGCTGTCGGCGCGATCCATTTAATCCAGAGCGAGCTCGGCATCAATCGTGTTTGAGGACTTAGGTCTGGCCATCTCCGAACGCGGTCGGCTCCGTTGGTCCGTCCTCAGAACAATGTCACGATCCGCGCAGATCTCCGGTCTCAGAGCGACTGTTGGACCGCGGTGGGTGGCCCGGCGCCAGCCCCATGGGATAACTGGGGTGCCGAGAGACAGCGAGCATTCAGAGCTGCTTTAGGCAACGCCGAAAAGAGGAAAGGATGGACGATTTTTTGGTAAACATATTAGAGAAATGTCCAACTAGCCAGCATCGTCCAACCAGTGCAGCGACCACATTACAAAGGCGTGCAAACGGATATATGTAACTACATAGCAAGATATTTTGCTGACTGCTACATTTTCTGAAAGTACGACCGTGTGTTGTATTGACAGCGATGTCAAATTAAATTTTATTTGGCAATTAATCATAAATTTCTGAAGTGTGGATCCCGCGATATGTTGTAGTTTTTATGATAGATCAGAAAACCTTCAGAGTTTATGATAGATAATTGCAATTATCGTTATTTTAGGGACATCCATAAGGATGAGCTATGTTTATTGAGCTGTTTAATACCAATTACCATTCATGTTATTATAACTTAAATTATTTTCGCTTCCAGTCGAGCTTCCATTGGTGGACCAGCAACGACGAGGTCGTCGGGTCTTTTCGCTCATCCCTTGTCTACCCGCAACGACTGACCGTCTAGCCCACCCAGCAATTAGGCGTTCATCTGCAGCGACACAGCCGTCTAACCGCAGCCACGAACGGCCACGGCGCAGGCGGCCCGGCCCGGACCGGCTGAGTCCGCCCTCCAGCGGCCACCGCCGCCGCTGTTTCACAAAGCGGCAGTTGCGGCGGCAGTCGACGCCGCCGCAGAGACGAGCTGCGGAACCACCGGCACGCCGCCGCGCATGCCTGTCATTCGCAGGAGAAGTGCTGAGCGCTGCTCCACTACGGAGGCCGCACTTCTCCCCTCCCTTTCTCCAGCTCTGCCTTATGCCATCGGGGATCCAAAATTAAAAAAGAGCTTGGTGGTATGTATACCTCAGGTCTCACCTGTGTTCTGATCAGGTCCGATGAAGCGGCTGCGTGTTCGTTCCCCGCCGGTCGGATCTCACAGCTCCTGGAACAAGAAGGCGCAGTTAGTCTCAGTTAGTGAGAGGGGTCGCCGTCGCCGGCTGAAGAACTCAGCCCCAACCAGCAGCATGAATAATTACATGTGCTAGCACACTGTCCGACACGATTGGATTGTTGATGTCACGGGTCGACGAGGCACATCCCTTCTGACCTCCAGCAGGTGCAGAGAGTCGCATTGTCAATGGGAACGTCGCCTTCACCTCGGTCAATGCAGCGACTAGTGAGAGTGATGCGACGGCAGTCGTGGAGAACGCAGTGACGTTTGAAGGATAAACTACAGCCACTTGAAGGATAGACTACCGCCATGAAACGGTCAGTGATCTTCACTGTTAATTATGTTGATACTTCTCTTGTAATTAATTCCACATGGCCATGGAATGTAACATGTAATTACACAGAAAATGCTGATGAATGGTTAACACCTAGTAGAACACACAGTTAATTTCACTACACCGAATTCACGGCCCAGCAGCACAATATATTTCTTCTTGTGCCACTGTCAGAGCGGGTACGTCGTTCCTCTAATGCTCGCTTCCTGGTAAGTGATGCCACTTCGACAGGATAATAACATGAGCTTCCAGAGTTGAGCGCTGAATAATTTCCTCTCTACGGCCCGGGGCCTTGGTGGTTCTGCCAGCATCGTCTCCCTCAGGCGCTACATCAGCTGCAAATTGTGCGCGGGCGCTACAGTTCTCACATACGACCGTGCCTCCCAGGCGACGAAGCGATCAAACAGGTGGTAAGATAAACTTCTGATTCGAACCAATACACACAGTCATGGGAAAGTTGGGCAGACAGGGCAGAAGTCATGGGAGGACAGCCACAGGGCGGTAGACGGCAGGAGAGGAAACTATGTCGAGGCGAAGCTGGTTCTAGGGCTCTCCAGAGTGGTCCGACGACTGCGTATAAATGCGGCAGTTTATGCATCATTTGCCAATTAGAGACGTCTTCGTGACGTCAGCCCACCAGTCACCGGTGACGTCAGAGGTCAGTGGACCTGTTGAGACGACAAGCAGTCTGCAAACGCAGCCCAAAGTCCGTGCATTCCTCACCAGCTTAATAGTTCAATGATTCTATAGACGGGTCCGCAGTTTTGTCATAGTACGACAATAGAGTGACGCGTATAATTGACGTGTTCACATTTCCTAAATACTTGATGACGTTGCATTGAAACTAATTATTATGGTTAATGAAACTGGGTGCAGCAATAAACGTCTGCTCACACGGGGGAGTCGCGGACCAGGGGAGACCACAAAAAGAGCACAGCATCATAATCTGAAGCGGTACCTTTCTGCTTGGCAAGAGCAGTATGCTACTCACTGTTCCGCAAGCGCACATCCCACGGCGTATGAAATGCACCATGATTTATTGGTTTAGAAATCCCATCAATCAAATTCATCTCCTCCTTGCCTTCCTTCTCTTCCTTTTCCACCCCTACTTCAATGTTTTCCTTTCCCTCCTCACGGGTCCTCCTCACCCGCTCTCGACCGCGACTCGCGGCTCAGGGTATGGCGGTGTTTATTGCAAAGGCTGCCGAGCCGGGCCTAGCGCGGGGCGGGGCCGGGTTGGGGAGAGAGGGGGCGGGGGCGGGGTGGGGCGCTGATGGGACAGTGGCAGTATCAGCCGGCCTCCGACGGGCGGGGGCGGGGGCGGGGGTGGGGGCGGACGTGAGTGGCGGCCGCGGGCGGGTCACTGGTATATCGTGTGGGCGGCAGGGGAGGGGGCGGCGACAGAAGCGCGCAGTTGTTCGCCGAAACAGTTCACCATGGCATTGCCCCGGCGTTCCGAACAGCAATGTCGAGACTGAGAGGCCGTGCCAGTGGGTGAGTGACCTGAAGGGCTGGGCGACCGCTGACATAGTGCTGCCGTGAGCCATCCCACTAGCGGCAGCTGCGCTTCTGGTACCGAGAAACGGCGCCTGTTCTGAGAGCCGCAGATGGGCTTCTCTGGTGCCCGGTCGCCTCACTGCCATACCATGGGGTGCCAGCTAGCTAAACAAAGCGCATATGTCCTTCAAAGCATCACTGCTATTAAATGGGAGGCGCAAACCTTGTGTCATGTTTTCTGCCTGTACTGATGGTTAATGATTCGTAAGAGATGAGGATTGCAAATTCAAATCACACCCTGGAAAAGCTACCTGACCGGTGGCCGTCGTTAGTTAAACATTACATATGACGGACCCTTTACATCCGTAAAGCAAAACACGCCTGTTGGTGTAACTAAAAACTGACCTTCTACCGAAAAAGTCTGAAACTTAGCGTTTACGAAGAGGGTAGTAGAGTTTTGTACCGCTCCCCGTTTAATACAGTACCATGGAAAATTTCAGATAATCGTAAGTAAAAATAAGCACCCGTAAATTCTGACACCGCGTGTCGGCTGAGTGTCTGGGCTGTGCGACACTGACCCGGCCATCCTACTCCGCCCTGACGTGATGTGGTGCTCAGTGCTGTCAGCGCTAAACAAACCTCCTTCCCCCTGAGTCATGGCCGGCGATCGGCCGTGGCCAGCAGACGCTGATAAGGCTTCATTAGTCGTGATATATCGCGGTGTTAATTAATTACAGGCAAGGATAGGCTCGTTGTGCTAGTCGGCAATCATTATTTCTGCTCTAAAGAGGTGCTCTGGAAGCATGTTAAACAGTGCCAGCGTGCTACATTTATCATTGGAATGTTTCAATATAACGTGTAAACAGGCACATTTATTTGACTTTGTCATGGCTAGATTCGTCGAGCCTGTATAATTGCACAATGGAACGTTGGAAAAACATCATTAAGAAAAACAAGATACCTATTTGATTTATGAATAGAATGTGGTTCATGCATGCATGTACATTATTCATTTTCTTGCGACTTCAATTTCGGTTTGGTTTCATTGGTGACGGATGAAAGTTGCAGCTTATAGGATAGGATAGGTATGAGAAAATATATTATCCAAGCAAAACTATTAAAATTCGTCATCAAAACTGCTCAAATATGCAAATAGGTAAGAGCGCGGCGCCACCTGTTGACTGTTGACTTTGGATGTCGCGCAAACTTTTGACGTTTTCAGCTGAGGCTCATTCATCAGCGTTGGAGGCAGCAACTGAAAACAGGTCATGTCGCGTGTTCCTCTCTGGCCGATCAGCGTGATTGACTACCGCTTTGGCAGATCGGCACAAGTCTGACGTTTTGATGTACACAAGCTGCACTGCCGCGCTGATAGGAGACGAGTCTCAGCCAAAACGCAGGTCCGCAGTTCATCAGATGACGTCACGAGCGGGGCGTGGGCGTGGCATTCCACCGATATCGAGTCACCCAGCCCAGGTCATTGGAGGGCCGAGAGCTACCCAGAACGGCGAGTCTCCGAAATTCGGTCCGCAAATGCGGAAGTCAGCGGGTGGTCGCAGAAAATGTTGTTCATAAATGCTTATTCGGATATAAGCTTCTTCTCTGGCATAGAATTGCCGGGTTCGAGGAACTCCAAGAAGCAAAATGTTTTAAAGGAAGACTGCCACCTTCAAAAAGTTTTCTCAGATCGGCCTATGATTTATTCCCTGGACAAAACAAAATTTTAGAATTCACCTGACAAAGTATCATCACGTGAATCGCGAAAAAAATTGTCGATTATCATACAATTATCAATCGGTTAATGTCTAGCGACAATGTTTGCACATCACTAGACTTCAAGGTCATAAGATTATTACATTTTATTTGAAAAAGTAAGGTATTTTATGATTTACTAATATATGATTTCATAAGAAATTGGCCATGTTTAATTTATTTTGCATTTAAGTTCGTAAAACATTTAAAAATCATGGCTCATTTGGAATGGGTCTGGCCCATGTTAAACCCCATTTCCCACACTTTTTTGGAAAAAATGAACTACTGAATATATAGGTTTAACTTTTAATTTGACACTCCAAAATTCTTCTCTGATCTCGAAACAATCAAAGTTTTGACATATATTTACCAAAAGATAAGAAAATTCATGTTTCAAAGTTATCGATAAACAGTAGAGATGTCGGTTTTCTTGGACTAAAAAAATGGCATCAAACTGAACTTTGGTCTCCGATTTCTCGCAAACGGGTTCGAATTTCGGAAAACCGACTTCAGTCTGGGACATAGGTGGCTCAGCTCTAGTGAAAACCGTTTTGTGGAAAAAAGGTGGCAGTCTACCTTTAATGAAAATAAAAATAGGCATAAGGCTAAATGGCATGATGAAATATAAATTATGTACGGCGGGGCGCAGAAAAACACACACAGGGGAAGATAGCATTAGGAGAAACGCAAAGCGGTAATGGAGGAAGTCAACTTGCAGCAGACCCTCGGAATTTCGATCCCTTGTCAGTCGCAGTCTCATTCTTTATAGAAATAAAAATTACCGTGACGCTGAATTGCGATTAATCAGCGAATAAGGGAGAGTACTTCTACTTCTCTTGCAACGAAAAGGAAGCTTATTGCGTGCGTGAACTACTTTGACGTACAAAAAAGCGTTAGACACAAGAGCTGCCCTATAAAGCGACAAACCATTTTTTTATTCACGAGAATGGCATAAATTAATTTACCTGAAAACCGCAAACAACGCTAAATCAAGTTTCATCCTAGGTAAGCCAAACCTCGCTATTTTAAGCCACGGCAAAGCAGTATACCCTACCGCTGCAAGGCTCGGACAGAACGATTGCCTCAGATTCACTACTTCCTCATGCCTGTCTTCAAACATGTATACAGTACACAGGAAAACCTAACGGTGCCGGCGGCGGCGGCTCCCCCTGACGTCACAGCAGACCGGACCAATCAGCGCTCGCCGGGCCGGTGGTATCGCCGGCGGCGGTGTACCGGGTCAAACCTCGCCCGTCCGGTAGGCTCCACCAGAGGAGCAGATAAGAGGCGACAGCTGAGCTGATTCGCCGCGGTGCACCTCACGCGGGTAAACAGGCCGATTTCAATTCCAGGAGGAGCACCAGCTCAGACCTGAGCCACATGAAGTCACGTCAGTGCCAGGAAGGCC